AACTTCTATATACATGGGTTCCCCATTCAAATATTCAACACATGGTAGGTTGAAAATATTTAACAAAATATTGTCTCTATACTGAATTAGTATTTTCTCATCATTATTCTGTAAACAATACAGTAAAGCAGTTATGAATATAGAAGTTACACTGTATCAGGTATTCTAAGTAGTGGAGACAAGTCAGGTATATGGAAGGACTGCTTGCATAGGTTATATGCAATCACCACACCATTTTAAGTACTTCAATTCCCATGGATTTTGATCCTTGGGTGTCTTGCAACTAATTCCCCATGGATACCAAGACATGAATGTAGTACCATTATTCCAGGCAAGCTCAGTGGCTTCAACGAACAAAATAACTAAGTCAATGACCATGAAAACCATATTAAACAATCTTTTCTTTTTGAATGCTTCAATCAGCATTGGAATGAATATATGGATTCATTCCAACCTTATCCTTCATGTCATATCACATTCAAAAACCAAAGTCTATTGCAATGACAAATCATATTGTGGAAAATTAAAAGAAAACACAAATATCCTTTTCTTATTTTGTATTTTTACATTCTGCACCCCCAACTGAAATCCCCAGGAAACAGCTGTGCACTGGAGTGTCCCCAGGGCAGTGAGAGGTTGTCATGCACAACTTCATGCATTAGGTGATATGCACAGAGGAGCATGGAACTTTCACCATCTACCATGGGGTGGGAACACTGTCATCACAACTGCCTGGAGGCCTTTTCTGCTGAGTTGAAGTTCTTGCCCTTAAACTTTCTATGGTGCATGGACCATGGTTTATTCAAACTAACACAAACGGTTGAGGCTATGACTCAAGGCTGAGGGACTGACTGCTTGCAATGACATTGCATTTTTTTCCCCAGCACCTGCAGTGGACGAGCAGAGACACAGATGATTATGACTCAAGAAAGAAGGTCAGTTGAGACATCAGGTTGGGATGGAGGCCCCAGGGCAGGTGGAATGCTGGGCACATCTGATGAGGTACTCAGTAAACTCAGCAGTGCCCTTTACTGTCAGCACCCCAGTGGGGCAGGTTTCATTCTCTGCTTTAACAGTGGTAAAGGTCAGTGCTAGTGAGAAAAGGGCATACCCTACAAGATGGATTGAAACAGTAAGAAAATGCAACAGCTAAATAGTGTGTAAGCATTAAAAAACAACTCCATTTAAAGTGGGGTCCGTCCTAGTATCTAGCAGGATAAACGGATATGACAATTCTCAAAGTAAGTTATGGGCAGGCACTCTTGTGAAGTGACATTTTCCCATCACTAACTGTATGTGACAGAAGATCAATTCCTAAGGTCTCCCATTGAGTCCACTGACTCTTAGCAGACTTTCCTGTTCTTACTAAAAAACTCAAAGGTATCTTAGAATGCACTCATAAGAATACAGCCATCTTTGACTGGCCCTCAAGACCTTGACCACAAAGCTTTCCCGATGGTTGGTCTTGGGCTAAACAGGAAACATTAAGAAGGAACCAGCAAAACTGAAACCAAACCAAAAGAAGACAGAATAATCTCTGCTTTCCTTAAGTGAACTTAACACTACCTTGATTAGTATGTTTTCAAAAGAGGAAACACTTCTACTGTTCCTGTGATGGATGCACTTGAATTCACAGACCATGAAAACCATTACAAAAGAGAGTAAAGAGAGCCTAGTGAGGAAACACTGGACCAAAGCAAGATGAAACCCAGAAGGGTAAACTCCTAATTCTATATTAGAGGACTCTTCCAATCTCCTTCCAGCTTTTTGACTGCAACACATTTCTCTCTTTTGGGATGGTTCCACATCCTGTCAGCAGCTTGCCTTGGCAGGTATCCCAGGGACCTGGCATCTCCAACACCTTGGGATATCCAACATAATCCAGGATTTACCTTCACAGCTTCTCACAATAGTCTCTCTAGGCATCCACGTAGGGACTCCCCGACACACATCTGGCCTCAGTGGCTTTCCTTAACCAGTGGAGGAAATCCACAACCCTTTTACTCCTGTATCTTCCTTCACTCTAAAGCTAAAATAACAAGACCAGAGCTGCTAAGTTCTGCTTGCTAGAGCTGTAGCTTACCCCACTCCCTGAATACACTGCATAAACCGTCCACTGTTTAAGCCTAGGAAGTCCCCTGACCTTTTCCTTTCATGGGCTGCAGAATTAGTGGGACGGGGTCTTGCCCTGAGACCCTGTCTGGTCCTTTCTTCCACTTAGCACCTGGCTTTTCTTTAATCTGTTTATCCCCTTCAACACAAGACTTGGCTCCAACATTACATTTTCTGGTGCTCTTTTTCTCCTCAAACTGTACATTTTGTATTTCTCTTTGCCTCACTTGCTCCTTTCTGTTGTAGATCTGCACAAGGGTGACCATAACCACATGACACAGTCAATACTAGATTGTCTTAACGTCTCCTCTGCCAATGACATTAATCCAAAACTCTTGAATTTGGCCTCAGGCATACTTTTAGAACAAGGGCAAAAAGCAACCACATTCTTTGCCAAAATATCACAAGAATAGTCTCTAGCCCAGCTACTAATATTCATTCCCTCTGAAACCTCTTGAGCCAGGTTTGCATAGTCTAGATCACCCTTAGCACTACTATCTTTCATGCTCCTACTAGGATGGCCCATTAAGTACCCCATTAAAGCATTCAACCACTTTTCTAGTCCCAAGTCCCAACTCCACATTCCTCCAACATCAATGTGATTAGCAATACCCCAGTTCCCAGTACCAATTTCTGTCTTAGTGCTCTGAAGAAATACCATAACCAAGACAAGTCTTATAAAAGAAAGCATTTAACTGGGGGCTTGCTTATAATTTTAGAGATTTAGTCCATGATTATCATGGCAAGAAGCAGGCAGGCATGGTGCTAGAGCAATAGTTGAGAGCTTTATATACTGCTCCATAGGCAGCAGGCAGAGAGAGACAGAGACAAAGAGAAAGAAGAGAGACACAGATATACACACACACACATACACACACACACACACACAGAGAGAGAGAGAGCGAGAGAGAGAGAGAGAGAGCGAGAGAGAGAGAGAGAGAGCGAGAGAGAGAGAGAGAGAGCGAGAGAGAGAGAGAGAGAGCGAGAGAGAGAGAGAGAGAGACAGACAGACAGACAGACAGACAGACAGAGACAGAACACAGAGAGAGAGAGAGAGAGAGAGAGAGAGAGAGAGAGAGAGAGAGAGAGCGCACAAAGCCCCTCAGTGACATACTTCCTCCAGCAAGGCAACATCTACTCTAACAAGGCCACACTTCCTAATCCTTCCAATCCTTCTCAAACAGTTCCTCTCCCTGGTAACTAGGCATTCAAATATACAAGCCTTTGGGGGGGGGGTCATTCTCATTTAAACCACCACAGGTTATGAGGCAAATAAAGTATTGGTGATGTTTCTTAGCATGCGGAGGCTTGGTTTTAGTTTTATTAGCACAGCTCTGTGATGGTCTTAACGTACTGTACTCCCTTCATCCTAAGTCTTAGCTTTTTACTGTTTCAATGGAAAGTTTGCAATTCTCTAACCCAGTGACCTCAAACTTAAAACTCTGTCTCCTCTGCAGTGGGTAGCTGCTGGAAAGTTCTGTGCAGCTCTATAGTCTTCCAGCTGCCACATTACTTGGAGTCTCCTTTGGTTTCACTCTGTGTACACATACCCAAGGATCAGCCAAGAATGAGTTCACATGCAGATTCTGGGTCTCCTCCCTTCATGGCATGTTCATTACTCAACGATTACTTCTAGGAACTCTGTCCTAGATTTTCTATTTAAATTCCGACTGTCCCATGCCCTTGTAGTCCAGGGAGGGCTTTGGGGAAGGGTCAGTTAATGGAAGCTCTGTGCGTTCTTGTCCTCTGTTTTCTAACTTTTCCTAACAGTTATAATTGTCATGGGCAAGAAGATCAGAACAACAGAAGCCACCCAGTCCCACCCCAAAGCCAGAACCCTAAGGACAGCAGCACATTTTAACACAGTCCAACCTTTTTGTTTGGGGTTTCCTTGCTTGTCTGTTTAGTATTTTTTAAGCCTTGTTTAAGAAATCCATTCCTAACTCAAAGCCATAAACACAATTCATAGGTTTTATGCTAAAAGTATTTTCCTTAACATATTTGTGTGTGTGTGTGTGTGTGTGTGTGTGTGTGTGTGTGTGTGTGTATGTTGGGATCTTTTGACTCACTTAGAATTAAATTTTTTATGACTCACTTAGACTTAAATTTTTGCACAGAGCTTAAGAAAGAGATTCTGGGCTGGGTTGTAACTTAGGCTTGCCTAGCATAAGTAAGGCCCCAGGCTTGATCTCTCCATACTACCAGAAAAAAAAGTAAAAAAAATAAAATAAGATAGGAAATAAAATAGAGAGCCAACTCTTTTCTGGAGACATGAGTACATTCCTAGTACCATTACTGACACGCCATTCCTTCCTCTTTCTCATTAGCTTCACATACCCTGTCATAAATCTAGTCTCTGGCATATAAACCATTCTGTTTCAGGGTTTGGTTTGCCCAGGCTACAGCCGTACTATAATCTCATTATCTTAGTTTTGTAGTGAGCTTTATTGTCTGGTAGAGCAAGTCCCTCCATCTGCTCTCCAAAGCTGCTTTGCCTATTCTTGGCCCTTTATTCTTTCAAATAAACTTTAGAAATCAAATCATATGATAAACCCTGCTGGAACAATTAAAATCTCTAAAATATTAAGCTTGCTTATCCACAAACTTGTATGCTTTTTCTACTCCTTCAAATTTCTGGGTGTTCTTCTATATTTTTCTCACAGAATTGTATTTTGCTTTTCATAGTATACATTTCAAATCAAATGGTACTGTTTTGCATCTAATTTATGTAAACTTACCCTTCCATGTTAAATGAATTTCATAAAATCATTCACTAAAGTTACAATCAAAAGGAAAGAGAGAAAATGCTTTCACCCTCTCATCTGTGTACAGTTTCACGCACCATGAACTTTGGGAGTGAGCAGACAGTTCCCATCCTCCAGTCTTACCAAGATGCTCCATGGTCCCTGCTGTCAGTGTCAGTGAAATTGGAATCCAAAAACATATCTTTGTAGATTCGGCCAACGAGGCAATACATATCGGAAGCAACTTGTCCTTCACTTTGTACCATGGGGATCATGATGTCAAGAGCTTTTGCTCTGTCTCCAGGGAGATTTCGCCTAAAGCAGAGAACACTGTTTCCATGGAGATCACAAAAGCAATTATAGACCAATCGCCTTCTAAAAAGTCCATTTTATGTATTGATTCATACCCATAAAGTTTGGCAGAATAAAAACAATTAGATTCTGGGATTCCTCTATGGGCCCTACCTTAAGCTTTCTTATCCTAATGCATGTCTACTGGGTCTATCAAGGATCTCTTATGGGTTGCTTTTCTGATCAACACGATGGACTTGTACTGACCCATCCAGAGTCCTAATCCCCCTGGTGCCTATGAGCAGGTTCAAGTTGGTGGAGCATTATGTATGAACCCTGTGACCTTGAATGCAACATAATCAACTATTTCAAATAACGAGGAACTCTTGACATTAGTTTTCAAAGGCTATGTTCCAAAAGAATGAGCAAACTAATTCATAGCTAATACCAAAATTCAAAATTCAAATCCATCCAAGAGCTGATTGTTTCTCCATGTGGCCAGCATCTAAGGAAGTTGCTTTATGTAGTTGGTATGATACTGGACTTGAACATGAGGCCTCAGGAATGCTAGACAAGCACTCTACCATTGAGCTATGTCCCTAGTTTTTGTGGTTTTTTTTTTTTTTTTTTGTATTTTTTATTTTGAGAGAGGAACTCACTGAGTTATTTAGACTGGCCTTGAGCTCCATGTAGCTCAATGTAAAATAATAGGTGTAGATAAATCTCAAAAATCATACTTTTATATTTCTTTAATGATGAAAATATTATGCTAAGTGAAAAAATAAGTAAAAAAAAAAGCCACCAATGAAATTTCCCACTCATGTGAAATATTTAAAATAGCAACCAACAGAGATATAAGGGGCATTAGTGGTTGCCAGGGACAGGAAGACCTGGGGTGAGGGCAAGGGCGACTTAATGGGTAGGTTTCCTTGTAGGGTGAAAAATTCTATAACTTATAGAACGACAGTTAAATAACTCAATTAATTACTAAAATCAAAGATATAAGACATTTTAAATGAATACGTTATATGGTATACAAGTTACATTTCAAAGAAAATTATTTTAAAAGTCATAAGTATTCTCATATTCTCAACTATAATTTCAAGTCTTTTGTTCATAAAATCCCTCTTTACCTTCTGTACTGAACATCTTGAATTGAGACTATTGCTTTATACAAATACAGTTTTCATCCCATTGTATGTTACTTGTGGAAAGAGAGACAAAACACACGATGTAAAATTCCAAGGGACTAGTAGGATTTTCTCACTTGGTTTCAAAATACATTTTACTTCCCCTGCCGTCCCTTCGCCCCCCTCCCCCAAATAAGGATGTGTTTGAAAGTAAAGCAGGTAAGCCCTGGAAGCTTTATGTGTTGGATGTAAAGAGTGTTAAACAAATGGAAAATAAAAGGGGCGTTCACTCTACAGTTTTTGTAATGCTGGCAAGTTCTCCAGTTGAGCTGGGTAAAGAAGGAAACATCTCGGTGTTCTGGCTGAGCATCACGCTGGCTTTCTAGAGAACAGCACATGTCTACTGGGAGCCTTCAGGGACAGTTACCTAACCTTTGCAGTCTGCAGTGGGCACAGCTATAAAATGAGGGAAATTGAGGCTTTTGACACACAGTGAGTTCTATATAAATTAGATCTCCATTCTTTTTCCATTTTAAAATCATTTTCTTTGGCAGCAACACGTATAGTCACCCCTCTCACCATAAAGAAGAGTGTGGTACAACTAAGTAATTTTTGGACAACTCAGGAGTCTACTGCCATCCATGGTCAGAGCACAGATGACCTGACTTGATGACTCTAGCTGGGAATCTGAACTGAGGTGAGCTATGATGTAGACAGAAGGCAGAGTGGGGAACTGAACGAAGCTCTGTCAATAGTGACACAGATAAACTTGTGGGAACTTAATTTAAAATGTCACTAGCAGAGTTCTGGTCCTAACGAATTGTGTTCACAGCAGTCCTGGGGAAAACTGTCTTTGGATGAGAAAAAACATTTACTTCCTCATAAATATCCACATACTTCAGTTAATCATTATGTGAAGGACCATGTGATGTTGAGGCAATCCCACATGTTTGTGAGTTCAATCAAATATGCTTTGAAAATATTTGGGGAAACGTCTATATTGAACATGCACAGAATTTTTCCCTGAATAGTATAAACTAACAACCATTTATATGGCATCATATTGTGTTGGATTTCAGTTATCTAGAGATTTATTATTTCTTATGATGATGATGATTATGATGAATACATTGTCTGCATGTATCCCTGCAGGTCAGAAGAGGGCACCAGATCTCATTACAAATGGTTGTGAGCCATCATGTGGTTGCTGGGAATTGAACTCAGGACTTTTGGAAGACAAGCTAGTATTTTTAGCCACTGAGCCATCTCTCTAGCACCTGAGATGGTTTTAGATATATAGAGAATGTGTATGTATTACATGAAATACCATACTGTTATATAAGGACTTGAACACCCTTGGATTTGCGTACCGTTAAAAGGTTTTAGAAGCACTTTCCAACAAATACCCAGGGACAACTATATTTGCTTAAAAGTAGTGTCATATTGATAACATATTGAATGTTATAAAAATATAAATAGGAAACACAAACTTTGTCAGAGAAAAAAATCATTATAAAATTTGAATCTACAAATAGCACAAGAGGTTTTTACTAACACACACACACACACACACACACACACACACACACAGACAGACAGAGAGAGAGAGAGAGAGACAGAGAGAGAGAGAGAGAAAGAGAGAGAGAGAGAAAACACACACAGAAAAAAAAAACAAAAAAAAAACACAAAAAAAACACACACACACACACACACACACACACACACACACACACACACACACACACACGGTGGGGGCAGACATGGTCTAATACGCTGGCACTACCAGCACTCAAAAGAGAGAAGCAGAAGGATCAGAAGTTCAAGGCCAGACCAAGATATACAGTGAGACACTGTCCCCCAAACACAAATAAAAACCAGAAAGAAATAAGAAATCACAAGATATGCTTTTAGTATTTCACATGAGTAAGGTAGATACAATACAACATTCTACTTGGGAACTGCTGGAAAGCTATAGGACTCTGTAAAGAGTAAAACCATCCTGCCCGTGCATTCCAGAAGGGAACATGTCACCTGTTCAGTGCAAATGCATAATGAAACTTCACGTGGTGATGCGAGGCCAAATCGAAGGTTGGCAATTTCTCCAGAGTCTCTACCAGCTTCACAATAGAGTCATAGTCCTATCAACAAAAAGAACATCATGGAATTAAACCACTAGGAGAAACTTCCAACAATGAAATGCCTTTCGACAGCCAGGCACCTGAAGCTGAGAAAAGGATTAAAAGCAAAATTAGAATCTTTTCTAACTTTGAAAGATTGAGACCTTTGAAAACCCAAGAAGCAACTGCTGTGTTTCTCCTAAGAAGTTCCTATTACATGGATCTAAGCATGAAAAAGACAGATATGGAATTTGACAAAACCCAAAGAAATAAAACAAATAAACCACAGAGACATGACCAGCTCTTTTCACACAGCCAGGCTCCTGGTCCACAGGGTTCCAACAGTTCCTTTCAGGGCCAGGGAGCAACTGACTGAACTTCTGTTTTAAGTAACAAAATGATTTCATCTCATGGGACAAAGTTCCTCTAGCCACAGACTCTCAATTGAAACAGTTCTCTAAGAATTGAGCCTCATGGGTGAAATCTCACCTGAGGCCAAGAGGCTAGACATGGGAATGAGAAACCAGGAGTTACCTGGATTTTACACTACACCCGTAATGCCATATCCTTCACAGAGAGATATCCTACTTTCCAGATCTAAAAAAAAACTAAGACATGTCAGTAGAAATGATACCGTAGGCCATCGTGTCATGTTACAGGTTTTACCTCTATTTTACAATGAATCAGCTGCATATTTCTTACTCCTGGCATGATCCTTTCCAGTAGCATAACTTCAGGAAGTAAAAGATATATTCAGAAAGCACTAAGAACTTCTGCTGTTTGCCAAAAGAAAGCTCTCACTCACTGGCTGACTGACAGGTGTGCCTGAGGCTCACAAGAGAGAACTGAGCCTCCAAGAGCTGGATATGTGAGCAATTTTAAGGAAGAGTAAATATGAGTATGTCATAATCCCCAAAAGTCACCATGTGTGAGTCTTTTCCATTCACCATGAAACCACACGGTGGAAAGTTATCAGTCAGCTCCATTCGGCAACATGGAATACTTATTAGCTAGCTGAAAGTCAACACCAGCATCCCTTCCTCCTCCAGCATGTTACCCAAGAGACACTATCTTCTCACCTGGATATCTCGGTAGGAAAGCAACAGGTTGATGACAATGTCTGCCGTCAAAACTTCAATATTGTCCACCCGCTGCCGAATCCTTGCCAATTCTGCTGCCAATTCTTTACCAGTGAATAGATTCCGAGCTTTCCTGATGTCATTGAGTATAGATTCCCGGAAATACTGGCTGGTGAAAAACCATACATTTTAAAGAGTTAACTCTTTGAAAATAATTCAGTGAAAAGCAGTAATGTTATAAGGAAATATATGACATTTGTCCATGAGCAGTCTTTAGCTCATTAAGATGCACTGAAGGAACATCTCGAATATTTGGCATCATTAAGACATTTGGGAGATGCAAAGCCGTGTAGTTCTTCTCAATTTCTGCCATATTTCAAACACTGTCGAAACTTTACTTCTCACCTTGCTATTTTGGATGGAAATGATCCCAAATAAATTAGATATGCCTATGATCTGAATATAATACAACCTTACCTTTCTGGCTCAGTATCATTATCTACTAACAGATGTGGTAGGAATAATAAAAACCCAGAGACAGATATCGGGATTCAAGCTGAAGACCAGAAAAGCAAAGCAGCCAGCCACTAGAGAGGTCTCACCTCTACCAATGTTCAGAAGGGGTGATCCACCTAACCTCAGAGTGCATCTCCAGACTGCTTGCTCCTCACCAAATCTCAGAGTGCTCCTGAGACTGCACTGAGCTCCTTCTATACCTCTCTAGTGCTGGGATTAAAGGCCTATGCTCCCTTTCTCTTTTAGACAGATTCACTCTCCCATAGCCCAGGGTGGTCTTGAACTCACAGAAATCCATCTGCCTCTGTCTTCTGAGTCCTGAGAATAAAGGTGTGTGCCACAGCTTCTAAGGCTGTGGCAAACTTTGCAAGCTTTGCATTCTGATCCCCAGGGCTTTTTTTTTTTTTTTTTTGGTTTTTCAAGAAAGGGTTTCTCTGTGGCTTTTGGAGGCTGTCCTGGAACTAGCTCTTGTAGACCAGGCTGGTCTTGAACTCACAGAGATCCACCTGCCTCTGCCTCCCGAGTGCTGGGATTAAAGGCATAAGCCACCAACGCCCGGCCCCCAGGCAAGCTTTATTAGATCATGAACAATATATCACCACAAACAGAAATAACTAGTAATTCTTTTGGTTTTTTTTTTTAAGTACATTTACTAGGCATGGTGGCACTTGAGTTTGAGTCTGCATAGAAAGTTCCAGGGAAGCAAGAGCTCGGGCAGTCAGGGTTGGCAGCAAGTACTTGCTGAGCCATCTCATCAGCCTGAAGATCATTCTTAACTAAACTGTGTTCTCAGCAATTTTTGCAGAGTTCTGTCCCTTACACTAAAAGTCCCTGGACATTCATTCTGATGTAGCCACAAGAGATCTCTCCCTCTCTCTCCATATACATACATACATACATACATACATACATACATGTATAAACACACACACACACACACACACACACACACACACATATATACATACATACATACACACAGATACAGTTTTGTCATTAATATGAAACAATTAATAGATTGGGAGCAAAGTAGTTTATAAACCAAGTGAATGAGGTTCAACTTACGAATGAAAACCACGTTTTTAGCCAGGCGTTGGTGGTGCACGCCTTTAATCCCAGCACTCGGGAGGCAGAGGCAGGTGGATCTCAATGAGTTTGAGGACAACCTGGTCTCCAGACCGAGTGCCAGGATAGGCTCCAAAGCCACAGAGAAACCCTGTCTCAAAAAACCAAAAAAAAAAAAAAAAAAGAAAGAAAGAAAGAAAGAAAGAAAGAAAGAAAGAAAACCATTTTTTTTCACTCAGAGGATACTGCACATTGTTTCCTGGCTCTTAATTAGGAACTGTGACAAGATACACAAGTAAAGGAAGCAAGAACCACCCTGCACGATCATCACCCAGTGTGAGCACTGTGTTACCTGGAACTTGCTTGCGCCACCTTCAAAAGCTGAACAAAACGATCCACAAGAGGTAAGCAGATGGGCCCCAGCAACAGCTCAAAGTTGGGCTGCATAAGCTCCGTCAAGCCCTTCATGAAGCTGCTGTCACAGCAGTAGACCTTGTTATGCGGTGTCACCATGTAAGGGACAAAGGTGTAGTTCCCAGTGCACATCTGTGGAGACAGGAGGCACCAGACAATAGGGAGTTTGTCTAGGGACACCACACTGACAAAAAAAAAGTCAGGCTGTATTTAAATGACTAAAATTATTATTTAAATAATAATTCTGAGTGCAATGGGAAACAGACAAGATTCATTTCTTATTTCTGACCCATGAAAATAGAATTTTCCCAATTTCCTTAATTGCTTACTTCAGTATAATTGGAATTTACACATAAGGTATTTTTTTTATCAACCATTAAATATGTATGCACTGTCACACATAGCTACTGGGATACATGCTAAAACAAGAATAATTTACAACTCTGAGATACTATCTTACTCCTGTCAGAATGGCCAAAATCAAAAACACCAAAGACAGTTTATGCTGGAGAAGATGTGGAGAAAGGGGAACACTTCTCCACTGCTGGTGGGAGTGCCAACTTATACAGCTACTTTGGAAATCAGTATGGCAATTCCTCAGGAAAATGGGAATCAGTCTACCACAAGATCTAGCAATTCCAACTCTTAGGCATATACCCAAAAGAAGCACATTCCTACTACAAGGACGTCTGTTCAACGATGTTCATCGAAGCATTATTTGTAATAGCCAGAACCTGGAAACAACCTAGATGCCCCTCAACTGAAGAATGGATAGAGAAAATGTGGTACATCTACACAATGGAGTACTACTCAACGGAAAAAAACAAGGGAATCTTGAAATCCACAGGCAAATGGATGGAACTAGAAGAAACCATTCTGAGTGAGGTAACCCAGTCACAAAAAGACAAACATGGTATGTACTCACTCATATATGGATTCTAGACATAGAGCAAATGATTACCATCCTACAAACCAAACCACCAGAGAAGCTAAGAAACAAGGAGTCTAAGAGAGATATACATGGTCCCCTGGAGAAGGGGAAAGGGACAAGATCTCCTGAGCAAATTGGGAACATGGGGGGAGGGGAGAGGGAGCTGGGAGAATGAGAAGGGGAGAAGAGGAGGGGTGAGGAGGACAGGAGGGAGCAGGAAGGTTGAGTTGAGGGAAGAAAAGAAGACAGCAAGATAAGAGAAACTATAATAGAGGGAGACATTATAGTTTTAAAGAGAATTCAGGCACTAGGGAAATGTCTGGAGATGTACAAAAATGACACCAACTAATGATCTAAGCAACAGAGGAGAGGCTACCTTAAATGCCCTCCCCTGGTAATGATATTTAAGACTAACTTATATCCCATCCTATAGCCTTCATCAAGCAGCTGGTGGAGGTAGAAGGAGACACCCACAGCTAAACTCTGAACTGAGCTGTAATCCACTTGCAGAGAAGGAGGAGTGATGTGCAAAGGGGTCCAGACCAGGCTGGTGAAACACACAGAAAGAGCTGACCTGAACAAGGGAGAGCTCTTGGTCCCCAGACTGATAGCTGGGAAACCAGCATGGAACTGATCCAGACCCCTGAATGTGGGTGTCAGTGAGGAGACCTCGGAAATCTATGGGTCCCCTTGAAGTAGATCAGTACTTATCCCTAGCATAGGAAGGGACTTTAGAAGCCCATCCCACATAGAGGGATACTCCCTGAGCTTAGACACATGGGATGGGCCTAGGCCCTATCCCAAAGGATATGACAGACTCGGAAGACCCTCTATGGAAGGCCTCACCCTCCCTGGGGAGCAGAAAGGGTATGGGATAGGTAGGGTGTTAGTTGGGGGGGCAGGGTAGGAGGGGAGAGAGAGGGAACTGGAATTGACATGGAAAACAATCTTGTTTCTAATTCAAATAAAAAATTTAAAAAAAGAATAATTTAAGCATAACTTCTATTCTCATGAAATCAGAAATTCACTCAGACACAACAAGAGAACAAAATACTGAGAGCCATGGTTAACAGGCTTTCCTGGGAAGGCGGTGCAGAGAGCAAGGCCAGAAGGATACAGCTGCTTTCTTCCAGGTCCATACTGCACTGTCTCCCTGCACTGAAACCTGAGCCTGTCACAGCCCTAGCTATTCCCCCTCTTCAGTGAACCTCAGATTTGTCTGGCCCCGTCTTCTCTGCTGGCACTGAGGTCCATGCCCCTACACCCAGCTGAGTCTCTGCAACTGGTTTTCACTGGCTTCCCTGGCACACTCTCACCTCCACACTGAATACCAACCATCCTCTCTCTACCCACTTCCAGCTAGGAATTCCTCCAGCTGCATGAGGCCCCACCAGAGAGCCCCTGGTGAAGGTGAGGCTTATACTGCTTGCTGTCCACAAGAGCCTGACCCCTGCACAGGCTGCCCTTTGCTAGCTTCAGCCTGTGCCTTCTCCCTTCAGCCACTGAGACTTGGGTTGCCTGACCTAGCAGTTTTCAGATTATGCCAAGTGAGGGGATACTCGTGCCAACAAAAACACTGTTGGATAGATGACAAAGGATCCTGGGTAAGCAAATCTCACTGCAGTTTAGGGCCTAAGGAAGGAACCAGATGCAAGCTAAAGATTTTAAACTATATATTCTGAGCAGTGGGGAATTAGCTGAGGATCCAGGGCAGGAAAGACAATACAACCGTGGCTGTGCACTCTGGCATTCTGGGTAGACAATCGGATGGACTGAAAGAAAGATCAAGAGCCAAGATTTAAGGGAAGGAGGCAGAAAACTGTGTGGTACAACCCGATTGGAGAAGCGGTATCCAAGAAATAGTAGTGTGAGCTCAGCGCCTAAAAGAAGAATCAGCTGAATCAGGGAAGCAGTCAGTCACATATACACAGGAAGGGGGAGAAGGAGCCAAAGGGAATCCAAATGCGGCTCTTGCGAAGAACGGTTACATCAACAGAAAGCAAGAAAGCCTGCAGGTCCAGACTCAGTGATGAGCACGCAGTTCTCTGAGGAACTTCAGGTAACAAACCCCACACAGAACCAGAACTCTAGCTCAAGTATGGGGAGACCTTCAAAAGATTGAAACTTGTAATGGACTCGAATGCAAAGCTCACTTTGACAGAGTATGGATTTCCTAGATCAAGAGCCTGGGAATGAATGCAAAAATTTCCACAAGGGAATTGGGGTGCGTGATGGGATTGTAAACACAGACCACAGTATTATTTGATAGAGTTGGATGAAATGTCAAGGAGCTCTAAAAGAAAACCCATAGAGAAACGTAACCCAAAGGGTTGAGCAGTAGACAGGACATGTGACAAACGCTGTGATCACTCCTAGAGGGCACAAGGAGTCCCAGCCTCAGGAGGGCACGGAAAGTATGTGTTCTCTTACGTTCTGCTCTCATTGGCAAACATTAACTTAGTTTCTGCATGGAACAAGGCAAGCATGACCCCACAATCACCACCACCTCGGTGCTTGTATGATTAGGACACAAGAAAAGTGGCTACTGGCTCCATTTCACAGGTGAAGTGACACACAGCCTTAGATCCAGCTCCTGGTGTCAGTATATTTAAGATTTTAGCTGAAATGCTTTTTTTTTTTAACGAGGGGCATGTGGTTGCTGCCCAGTGTGTGGCGGGACGGGGCGAGGGGAGGATTAACATTCTCACATGACCTTCACAGGGTGATTTTACCTGCTCTCCACCCAACATCACCTTCACAGGAACCTGCACAAACTAAGTGACAGATCACTGCAAGCCTGAGAAGTGCCAGGTGCATTTATATCCAGATTTAACTATTTATGAAGCACATGATGCTTAAAGCACCTGGAAATGAGCAGTGAGGCAAAACTGCGCCAGACTGCCAGTTAGCATATGAGAAGGACTTCCAGAAGTGGAGGTTTGGGTTTTAAATCAAGATTTCTCTCACACGATGATGGGGAGTCCAACCAGAAAGACTAAAAAAGAAACTGTCCTTTTACGATGCTACCAGGATCTCAAGAGCACAACTACCCAACTAAATCCTCTGACTCAAGCCACTGCCAAAGCAGGAGAGAGGGACAAGGAGGTAACATGATGCGTTTTATTTTCATGTGTGTGTGTGTGTAAAATCCTAATGCTCAAAATCTAAAACCTATCCTTGATCTTATCCAAAGCATAGAAGAGCCACCAAAATGCAGTCTTACTCAAATAAAGCATATCTTGGTTGTTTTAGAAATGAGTAGTGCTGATGTTCCCTTTCAATCTTTAAAGAAATATATATATATATGGAGGAGTCAAACATCTGGAAGGAAATGGTCACAGCATTCAAACATGCTGAAGGAGGTGAGCACAAATCAGTCTTTCAAAGGACACCCTGTTCCTGGATCACAGCAGAACCTAAATCAATGGGCAACGTGCTCACAAAGTATGTGTTCCTTTTATCCTTCCCACCCTTCAAGCTTAGGGATACGAATGCCTTTGGTGGGCCTTGATATAAAAATGGCCACCATCTCTGCAGCTCATCATGTTGCCCTAGTTTTCTAAAATGTATCTATTTGTTTACTTGTCTTCTTACACTAGCTAAACTCTAGCATTCCTGCTTTTTCATCTTGTATAATAGTTACAGATATGACTGTTTTCATTCTCTCTCTTATATATATTTGAGTCGGGGTTTCTCTGTGTAGCCCTGAAAATCCTAGAACTTATTCTGTAGACCAGGCTGGCCTCAAACTCACAGAGATCCTCCTGTCTCTCACTGTTTTTATTCATAACCACTAGTGTGAGTCTCCTTGTTAGGCACCAAGCCATACTGTTCACATTCAGTTGCTATCTACTGAGTAAAATGTGTTACATTACAATGAAGCATGGAATGGTTAAGTGCTCATTTCCTGTTGAGATGGGAATGGTAAGACTTCATAGCGGCAACATTATCCACACTGCAGTGAGTCTCCCTCAAGGTGAAATCTTGAACACGTCTTAAATTTTCTAATCCAAGGAAAACTATCAGTTGTGATATTAATCCCATCATCTCAGGTGAAATCATGTGTGGTCTGAGGTCATATATTATTTCCACTCTGAATTGTAGATGCATATCTGTTTTAGGGCTTTTAAACACTGCCTTACTTCCTAACATAAAATACACAACCACTGACCCACAAGGCTGTTCCCATTTCTGCTGTAATAGTGCAACATTTTTTCATGAAGTTTTTTTTTGAATTAGGAACAAGATTGTTTTACATGTCAATCCCAGTTCCCTCTCTCTCCCCTCCTCCCCTACCACCACCCACAAACTAACACCCTACCTATCTCATACCCTTTCTGCTCCACAGGGAGGGTAAGGCCTTCCATATGGGGTCTTCAGAGTCTTCAGTCTTTTTAAATTTAATTTTTTAAATGTCTCAATTTTTCCTGTCAATTTAATTCTGCTGAAGGGATAGCATTCTGTAGTGTGAACTCAAAGAACACTTCAGTGCTAAGGGGCAGGGGATGGGGAATTAGCCCATTGGTAGAACACTTGCCTAATATGTAGATGGCCATGGGTTCACTCCCCAGCACTAGGGAAAAAAAATAGCTAACCTAAGAGTTTGACTGAATGTCTCAACAAAGAAGATACGTGACAGACAAATAGAAGCATGGACAATATTATATGTTACATATATTTGCAGATTATATATCACACACACATATATATATATATATGCCTATATGTATATATCCACATATACTGTTATATGAGTAATACACACACATGTATATTGCTTTGTTATATGCCTGTTACTACCATCTGTAATTCTATAACGTTGAATGCACTGTGAATGTATTTTTTCTAAAACATAACTATATATACAAGAATCAGGTACTAGTGTTGTCTGCCATTGTTATAATATTTCACTACAATGTGCTAGAGAACATAATTGTGTTTATATCAATATATGAGAAGCTCTAAAAAGGACTAAAAGAAATAAAAATTGATAAAAAATAACAGATGGAAAAGAAAAGATTGAAACATTTTTGGAAAGTTAAGCAAAATACTCACAGTATTCTTCTGGCAAATGATTTCCTGAAAAAGAGAGAGAGGAAAAAAAACTTAACAAATTTATAACAAAAACCAGTAGCCCTTACTGAACTATTGCATGCAGGTAAATTTGCATTAGCATGTATATTAGCAATCAGAAATGTCAGAGAAATATTGGAAAAGCATTTATGTTTGCAGTGAGAAATTATACATTTACCCTTCTGCACATGAGAAATTTACAATCTAGGGGAGATAAGAGAACAAAAAAAGTGTTGCACAAAATTTAATAACAACAACACAAGGTTGTACAAATCCCCAAACAGAATAATCTAAAACTTACTTCTGGAGAAAATATATGTAGAGAATTACTTGACCTAGTATGAGCTCCTTGAGAAAAATATTAAAATGTTTGATTTCCCTAAGTATATTTTTCTCACAGCCTGGGCAAATAGAAAGGGCACACCATGTCGAGTAGCTGGAAATAATAAAGGGTACTTTGGCCAATGGTAACCTCACACATAAATAATAAGGACAACAACAAAGTAAGTGTAATTTAGATGTTTTTCAATGAGACATGTAATGGAATAACTACACCACTTGGACAATATCCCTGTCTTCTGGGTTGTAAAGAGTGAGCTCTTGCAAATAATTTAGATGTGCAGCTTCCCAACAGAAGCTCTTATTAAGGGGTATCTACACCTGTGCCTATTATCTCTAGGCATTACAGTAACAAGGCACTGGGGAGAGGATCTGGGAAAGGATGTGGTATACTAGCTTCACTCCTGGTGAGGAAGTCATGATTTAGAAAATAGAAAATGGGACTGCATATTAAGAAAGAGGGCATGTATGTTGTCATGGAAACAGGAAATGTAAGGCATTTGTGGAGTCTTTCTGGAAAGTCCATCTGGCTCAGGAAAGCAGCCAGATCCAGCAAGGTGACAGTAGAGACATAGTGCCTGGCAGAGTGGTCAGCTTTCCGGATGCTAAATTGACACAGGGGGCGAATTTAGCCACAAAGAGCTTCAGGTCTGAGCAGTATGTAAGGTGTTTTGAATATTTAAGAACAGCAGATAAGGAAAAAAAATGATAGAAGAGGAAATTGTACTGGGCAGTGTTGAGGTGTGTGTGTGTGTGTGTGTGTGTGTGTGTGTGTGTGTGTGTCCTTCAGTACCTCACCATCCTGCTGGTACAAAGCACTTGCAGGCCAGACTCACAGTTCTAATCCCAGCACTCAGGAGGCTGATTGGGGAGATTTGTTGCACATTTTAGGTAAGCCTGGGATACACAGCAAAATCCCAACCATCCTGGGCTATCAAGTTAAGACCTTGTTTCAAACAGACTTGTTTACATTTTAAAAGAACATGTCCGGGTGATCATGCATGCACACACGTGCCCTGTTACGGTTTGAGTGTGAAATACCCACTACCAGCTCATGTGTTTAAACACCTGACCCTTGGAGGCGGTGCTGTTTTAGGAGGCTATGAAACCTTTAGGACTGTGGTTCCCAACCTTCCTAATGCTGCGACGACCCTTTAATACAGTTCTCATGTTGTGATGAACCCCAGCCATAAAATTATTTTTGTTGCTACTTCATGACTGTAACTTTGCTACTGTTTTAAATTGTAATGTAAATACCTGATATGAAGGTTATCTGATGTGCGACCCCTGTGAAAGGGTTGTTCGACAACCTCGCCCTACAAAAGGGGTCACCATGAACTTCAGCAGGGATGGTCTGTCCCTTAAATCAGAAGCTAAAATAAATCCTTTCCCCCATAATTTGTTTATTGTTAGCTATTTTATCACAGCAATAAGAGAGGTAACAACCATAAAGGCTCTCACATATGATAAAAGGCAGAAGAAAGATACAAATAGCATAGGCTATGGTTTCTCAGAGAAGATAATTCCTTTTTTTTTTTTTGAATGATTTACTTATTCTTGTTTTTATGTGCATTGGTGTTTTGCCTGCATGAATGTATGTGTGAGAGGTGTCACATCCCCTGGAACTTGAGTTACAGACAGTTGTGAGCTACCATGAAGGTGCTGGGAATTGAACCCAGGTCCTCTGGAAGAGCAGCCAGTAGTCTTAACTGCTGAGCCATCTTTCTAGCCCCAAGAAGAAGGAATTGGAGGTTAGCTAAGAAGGTGGGTCAGAAACTGAGCTGTGGAGAACAGAGCAAACCATGAAGGCAATAATGGAGTGTGTGGGTATCCTGCCTGGAGATGATGGAAAGTAGGGGCTCATGTAAAAATCAATAAATGTTACCACTGGGAGCCAAGGAAGACAGTTCATTTGGGGCCACATATAGAAGAGAGAATTAAAGAGATATTTGAGAAAGATCTTCAATATAATCATTGAACTAAAGCAGAAAGTTCATTTTGACCCTGAAATAAGAAGACAGTGTTAACTTAGGCTTTGGGGGTGGGGGGAGGCTTTGAGTGGCAAAACAAAGAAGTACATTCTGTAACTACTTAGTGGTCAAGTGTAGTTTGTTTCTTTGTTTTTCAGACAGAATCCCAATGCAACCCAGACTGGTCCCAAATTCACTATGTAGCCAAGGACGGCCTTGAACTCCCTATGTTCTTGCCTCTACTTCTGGAGTGTACTACCGCACCCAGTTTGTGTGATGCTAGGGTTTCTTGAACGCTAGGCAATCACTCTACCAAACTAAGCTACACCCCTAGCCCCGCACCCCCACCCCACCCACCACCGCCACCCCTGAGAAATCTTATGCTGAGCAGTTTTGGAACAGTGTACCCAGCAACTGCACAGGCAGGGAACACCTTAAATGCCCATCTCTTAGAAATCTGTTGAATAAGCTATGGTCCGTCCTCACTTCCCTAAAACAGGAGCTACTGTTCTATTGTCCCTGCTTCGCCACACCAGGCACAGAAATGGAAGCAGCACAGAGAGAAGTGCTGCTGGGGCCTGATGAGCCAAAGGCTCTGCAGAACACGAAGGCAGCCTCTGCTGGCTGGAGCCAGCACGTCGCTCTCCCGCAGAACTGTTCTCGAGTGTCCTCTCCCTTCACTGCACATCATGCAATCAATTATGAACTATGATGAGTCAAAGAAGGTAGGACTCATCGCCCTGACACTCACCAGCTGCGTGTGCCCTGAATTGTGTACCTCTAGGCTAATTTTCTTAACCATAAGAAAATCTTTTCTGTCTACTCCGGAAAGCGAGTACTTAACTTGCCTCTCCCACTGGATCGTAGGTTAATTTGTAAATTTGTAAAGCTACTTAAAACCATATGCAACATGAGGTATTAATCACATCAAAGCAAAGGACTTAACTCCTACCTATCAGATCTAGGGATGCTGTGCACCCATGTTGGTCATGATGATGGCTAAAACACTATGAGGAGTGTTTAACTTTCACTTCAAACAAACTGTGTCAAAAATCAGGTTCCACTGTAGCAAAACTGGAACGCAACCATAAGGGACATTCTGTGCTGCCATCTCTTCCTCCTCCTCCTCCTCCTCTTTTTCCCCTATCATTTTTTTATATTTAAAAAGTATCTCTTGGTGGGAGAACTCTGCTGTAGGCACGTACGTCCTTTCAGGTGGGTTATAACTGGGGTGTTACCACAAATCGCTGATAACTTCTCAACACAAACTTCACTTTATGCCGTGCTGCTGTTGCCATCATCAACTTTTTTGCCACCAACTACTTTTTTCAGTAACATCTAATTGAATCAAATTATTCTAGTACACACTGATATTGTTTTAAAACTTTATTGTTAAAAGGTTATAGATCTAATGATTTTCTGCACACAAAGTCACACTTGACATAGAAAAACACTGGTAATTTGAAAGATGGAGGATCAAAAGATGATGATGGGTCATATGATCAGATTCCAGAGAAAGGACCACTGTAGAAGGAACGAGATGGTTTGCTGCTCTCTAAGATACTCAAACTCACATTTCTAGCAGGAGTCCCTCCAAATGATGACAGTGACTGATGTCAACTCAGGGACACAATGGCACCTTCCAGGGCCTGTGCAGCCTCGACTTTCTTTTCCCTTTGACAAACAGCAATAGGAGGCTAGATGGGGCAGGCAGGCAGGTGGGGTAGGAGTGGATATTACAAAGAAAATGGAGAGTGTTGCTTGATTCTAAGGCAGACAATACCATAGTAGAGGCACCATTGCTGAGTTCCTACAGATTTACGATCCTCAGAGAAACTTAAGCCCTCATGTACTTGTGGTCACTCTGCTCTTCCTAGAAATCACCTCTTTCCCCAGTATGATAAGGAGTGATTACAGCTCTGGTGAAAGTAATTATGAAATAAGTAAGTGAAGGAAACAAGAGGCTTTCTCTTTCAACAACAAAAGGGCTTGCTGTGACATCCTTCTTAAGTATATGGGATACAGGGCTTCATCCTGTGATACAGAAAGTGTATGGGATACCGGGATTCTTGTGGTATAGTAAAAGTATGACATGAAGGTCTTCCTGTGACATAGTAAGTGTATGGCAAATAGGACTTCATGTGATACAGAAAATGTATGGGATGAAGGGCTTCCTGTGAAACAGTAAGTAAATGGGATACAGGGCTCCATCCTGTGATACAGAAAGTGTGTGGTTTACAGAGCTTCCTGTGATGTAAGAGTATGGAAATGGGATGCAGAGTAGGACCACCTGGGCGAAGTCAGGAATGCCCATTTTTAAACTGCTGATTCTAGATGACAAGCAGGTGAACCACGCAAGAGTTTGTCAGAAGGGTCTACCGGCAGTGCTGCTTAAAGCAGTGGGGCTGATGCTTCCAGTTCATTAACGGCAGGAGAATTTCATGGGATCATATTTCTAAGTGACTTCTAAAGAAGCGCTAATGAGTGAGTACTTGGTACCAACAACTAAGTTGGCGTATTTCAAATGCTGGGGAAAATCCATTAGTAAGCTAAATGTTCTATGCCTTTGGAAAAATTAAAATTTAGTTTCAAGAACAATTGAACTTTTTAGCTGAATTCCAGAAAGGTACAGCTTAAAGAGAAGAAAGCAGCATTGCAAGATTGAAAGAAAAGAAGGGTTTTTTTTTTTTTTATAAG